AAAATTGTTGTTCGAAAGCTATGTCCTTCTTTGGAGTGATACAACGAATCTACACATTGTTCTCTTCTTCTCCCAAACGATGAAAATTTTTTAAAGATAAGGTTCAAGGTCTGACACTTAAGCCATTGTCACAGACACGTTGAGAAAGTCATGTGGAAAGTGTGAAACCTATAAAAGAGCAATCTGTGCAAATAGGAAATACTTTATTTGACTTGGCAAACATTGTTGAAGATCCAAAAAAAAAAATGTGAGGCTGAGTCCTTAGCTATATATGACTTGAAAATTTTGAGTTTTTGTTAAGCATTGTAATTTGGTATAAGTTGTTCCATGCAATCAATACTGTGAGTAAATTTTTTCAAGCCAAAAGCATGGATATTAATGAAGCCATCAAACTTTTACAAACACTTATTTCATTTCTCGAAGATTATAGAGAATTTGGGTTTGCTAGTGCCATGGATGAAGCTAAACAAATGACAAGTGAAATGGGAATTGAAGCTGTTTCAAGAGAGACATAGCATTCGAAGAAAGAAGCAACTCGATGAAAGTGGCGCTGAAGAGGTAACCTATTCGGCTGAAGAATCTTTTAGAGTTTAGTATTTTCTCTTTATAATTGATCAAGCTCGATCATCACTTCAAACTCGTTTTGAACAATTTACACATTATGAAGAGATATTTGGATTTTCATTTAACTTGGATAGATTAATGAGTATGCAAGTTGACATTTTGTTGAAATCCTGTATGAATCTTGTGCAGTGTTTAAAGCATAATGGACATTCAGACAATTTAGGTGATGATTTGTGTTCATAGTTGATCATCTTGAGGTGCTATTTAACTAGCGAAACAAAAAGAGCAATTGATGTATTACATTACTTGAAGAAAATGAATGGTTGTTTTCCAAATACTTGCATTGCTTACAAGATTTTGCTCACTATCCTGGTTACAGTTGCATTAGCAAAAATTGATCAAGAATTATATCCAATCAACTATGTCAGAGCAAAGATTGAATGATTTAGCCATGTTATCAATTGAAAAAGAAATGGTTGAACAACTCAACTATACAAAATTGATTGATATTTTTGCTTTGAAAACTGCAAGATGGGTTGTATTTAAGTGATATTTTAGAACTTTTTCACATTGTTATTTGATTATAATTTACATATTTTAATTATTTCATTTTTTTTGTTTTATTTTTTGATTTTATGTTAACAAATTTAGTTCTTTAATTCTCTTATACATGAAAAAAATTAATTACTTCTTATGATTTTGAGGCCCGAAATTTGAATTTTGCCTCAGGCCCCGCAAAACAAAGGTTCGGCCCTGCTAATTTTTAATCACCAATAATGGAATCTTGACACAGTATTTGAAACATTAAGATCTTTAGTTACATCATGAGTATTCTTGATGAGTTGACCGATATGAATATTAAGGATGGTGTCATTTCAAGGGTAGCTTGTCTAGCTACTCAAAGTATTCATGAAAAATCTAGGATGAAGGACACACGGCCAATACACATTTATGTTTATATGAACACATTGGGATATGATACTTGTGTTTGAGATGTTTCCGGTTAGCCACACAAGGTTGTTGGCTCAAACTTTGTCTTCCATGTCAGCTTGGTTAACATTTAAAATATTTTCATTGTGTGAATATTCCAAAAGACATGATTTATGCATAAAGTTGGGGAAGTCCATATGAGAGATTTCAAAACTGTTATTTGATTTGAATATGGTGAAGGATTGTATGAAATAACTATGTGATATTCCTCCAAAAAAAACTCTTTTTTTTCCCCTTTTAATTCAAGGATAAATTTGTTAATCAACAAAGAAAAATGAAAATTCTTAAAATCATCCATTCAAATTCCATAAGGGGCTTTGGCTTTTTCATAAAATTGTAGTCGTAGTATTCAAAAAATAGAAATATATAAAGTAGTAATTTTCAAAAGAATGTTAACTAAAAATTGGTAGATTAAATCGAAGATGGATATACAAGTCAAGGAGCATTGGATCAAGAGGAAACTAGAACCAAAAACGATGGAGTGGCAAACTTCTAAACAGGGTTTTGAGGCAAGCTAGAACAAGTGCACTGAAGGGCTAACTCACCTACGCTGCCATTCTGACAGCATTATACATGATGTTTGGCTGCCAAGCGCCACCAATGGTGTCTTTTCGTACTAAATTGGTTTTGGTTAGGCTTGGACAAAAAAGCGACCAAATTAATCAAATCCAACCAATTCAAGTTGATTCAGGTCGGTTTGACACAGATAATTAATTTGATTTGATTTTTTTAAAAAATATCATAGTGGATCGATTTAGTCATGATTTGAAGTCTCCAACTATTGGTTAACCGAACCAACTCAACTTAGTTACAATTTTACCCTTTTTTTAAAAAAAAAAATTTAAAAAGTAAAAATTAAAAGATAAGCCATAATCTCATAACTATATCTCGATTCCCTCCAATCTATGATATTGCTGGTAAGTAATAATACTGAAAATTTCCTTTCACAAATTCATTATGTTACACTTAACATTTTTTCATACTCCGACAGTCAAACTACATAATTCATAAAAATAAAAATATAAAAAAAAAATTCTTAAGTTTCTGTTGACCCATCTCTATTAATATGATTTTATTTGTTAGTCAATCATTCTTGTAATATAAAATTATTTGATTTTTTTATTTCTTATAATCTAAGTGGACTCAAAATTCGGACAATTTTTTTTTTTTCAAAAAGTCCAGACGAACTAGTCAAACCGAACTCAACCCAACCAACTGATTGGTCGGGTTCGATTCGATTTAAGAGTTAAAGTGGGTTAGTTTAAGTTGAAATTCGTCTAAACCGTTAATTTGGTTTCGATTTTTGGTTGGAGTAGAAATCAACCCAAATCAAACCGCGCCCATGCTTAGTTTTGACCATTAATATTTGATTTACTTTTTTTTTCAGATTTAATAAATGTAATTCAACTCAAAAAGACACTATTTGTTCATAATTATGTTATATCCGAAATTGGGCCTATAGTATGGATGATCTTGAAAAGGGAAGAAATTGGGCCCAAAATGAATGAATTGGGCATGTACGCATGGGCTAAATTACTAGTCGCTAGGCTGATTTTCAATTTTTATTTATTATTATTATTATTATTATTTTTTTTTATGGTTGGCACTTTTTCGTGGTGTATGGATGGAAAATTAAATAAGTGATAGTTTTTCCATTTCTAGTACATGAAATCAATTATCAAAAATCACATTTGAGTGAAATAATTTCAATTCTTACCTTCTCAATAAAAATTCAAATACTTATAAATTTTTTTTTATAAAGTTTTGAAATATCACGTGAACTTTAGTGTTTATTTCATAAAGGCCTGTTTAATCTTACAAAGTATTTCCCAGTGAATTCCTTTAAACATTCTAACAATTCTAGAGAAAACAAATATCGTTTGAAGACAACGTTGTTCGTGGTATTCTTCATATTGTGTGTTCTATCCTTCACCACTTTCATATTTCTAACACTTCGGAAGAGTTGTAACTTTTGGGAAGATGTGTAATTCAATTCTTTTATGGTTATTTGATCAAGAGACATGAAATAAAAATCAATATTCTTTCTACAATTTTCTACACTTTCTCACATCCAAAATTTCAACTTTTGTGCATTCATTTCTTCTTAAATATTCTTTTTTATTCATCGAACTGCATAAATAAAGGGCAAATGTTACGTATAGACTTCAAAATCTTTTATGTTCGAGTTTTCTTCGTTTTTGCACAACATAGACAATGTGAATAGCTTCATTGTTTCATAGGCATGATCGTGTTTCCAAATGCATCACTAAATTGATAGGGGAGAAGATAACGTCTTAAGGAAAGCATTATCACGTGTCTTAAGTTGAGTTTGACAAAGTTTAGGATCTTGCATTTTCAACTTCTTGTTCTTCTCCTTCTCTTGTGATTCTTGGTGACATCCATCAACACGTGGTGTGACAGCAGTGGCAGTGTGGAGGCTCGTGTGAGTATATCTCTTTCTCTTTCTGTCTGTTACTCTCAAAATGAGACTACAATGCTTTTTGTGATGAAAATTTGACATTGACGACTTTAAAATATGGTTTCAATTTTTATTCATTGAGAATTAAAAAGGTTGAAGCTACACGAGGGGTGAAACCAGAAATATAGTCTAATGAAGGCTTCCTAATATACAAGACCAGCTAAGTAAAATATGTAAATTAAAATGCATACTATTGACCCTAGAAAATGGAAGACAGGTGTTGATACAAGACAATATACACGTGGATGTATAGTGTGGTATTTCTACTATAAATATGAATATTTGTGGAAGAAAGTGAATAGTAGACAATGCAAGTATATTATCCCTTCACTATATTTTTTCAAAATCTTTCAATTGATACAAGAATTTCGTATTTATAGTGATCAGACCAACGTGGTCACCGTAGGATTGGATCCATGTGGCATGATTTGCCAACCCTAATTATTACATCAACTATGTCATCTATTAATTACATTGATAGACACTACTAGAAAAGGTTGCAACAGAGACGGAATTTTAGCGACAATCGTCTTCCGTTGCGACTACCAACGGATTAACAACGGCTTTGTAATGACTTATCATTTTATTATTTTTAAAAATTACATATTAATTTAACGACAGAATTACCAACGAAAGTATTTCGTTGGTACAATATCCGTTGCTAATCCGCAAGTAAACAATTTAAAAATAATAAATTATATAATTTAGTGACAGAATTTCTCAATGGATGATTTCGTTGGAAAAATATTAAAATTGATGAAATCATGTACCTACGAAAAATTCTGTTGAAAAACATTGGAAGTAAAATTTTAAAAGTATTATATAATTACCAACAATAAATTCCTTCGAAAAATTCAAAAAGTTTCAATTTCCACCTAAAATTTAATTTGCCTTTAAAATTTTCATTTTCCTCCAATCAATCCCCACTCAAATATTTCATTTCCTCCCAATAAATGTCAATAACCAAAATCAACCGGCTCAAATTAGAAAATGAGAAAGAAATAACACAACCCACTCCCGTTTCTCTCCACAACCATGGGTTGACGTCTAACTCTCAAGCCTTTCCCAATTATCAATGGCGATTCCGAAAACCCTAAATCCAGCAATCCCCTTTCTCATCATCCTCTCAACTCTACTCCTCTCCAGAGAAGCAAGAACTGACACGAATAATGTGTTCTTTCCGTGCGGTGATACGAAGGTGCAGAAGAAGGATGGCTTCGCATTGGGTATCGTGTTCGGTTCAAGGTCGGCCTTCTTCTCCAGCAACAACAATTCCGTTCAGCTGTCTCCGTGCGACAGTCGCCTCTCGATCTCCAACGGAAACTCCCAGGTCACTGTTTTCCACCCCAAAGTGGACGAGATCTCATTTCTCACGATCAATACCTCCAGCTTCTTCCCGGTACTATTACTACTTCTATATAGCTGCTTGTATTTTTTTTGGTATAAATTGACTAATTATGGGTTTATGCAATGAAATTATTATTTTTTTCTTGGGAAGAATTGCGTTTCTGATTTTTGGTTTATTTTTTCTAAATTTATTTATCTGTCTGACCATGAAAACATATGGTTCTCAGAAATTGGGTTTTAAGAAGAGTAGAGAATTGGGTATCACTTTTATAGCAAGACGGAACTTTCCTTAGGATATCTAACATAGTCTGCAGTTATATTTTTCCCAGTAGAAGTGGTTACAATATGAATTTGGTGCAAGTAGGATTGGGGTGGGTTTCAATGAAACAATTATGGAAGTAGTTATCAATGAAACAAACTAGAAATTTTGAAGTTTGGTTTGTGGAAATTATGGAATTATATCGGTTTGGACTCTAATGTGTGGCCTTTAAATTCATGAAATGAAGAAAATGTTTTACTTTGGCAGGATGGAAGTCGTGGCCCTTTCTCAATTAGATTTTTTTTTTTCTTTTTCTCTCCAATGAGTTTTGCTACTTGCACTAGTGGCATTGCAAATGAAAAGCCTAATCTCTATTGTTAATATCTCTGGTAACTATTTATGTTGTGGTCAGTCTTCATTTGCCTCTTTAGCCCTTTACTTTCTGTTGATGTATATTTATGTTTGCTGCTGACAGAAAGAGCAAATTTGGTAGTTTGCTAATTAGCACAGTTGGCATTTCTGGAAGATTCAATGGCAGGCAATGGCCTGCTAACATTAGGCCCTGTTAAATTTAATTTGTGTGGTTCTGTTCTCATTTGTACTTTGCCAAGTGGGGGTATTGTTTCATCTCTCTGTTTTATTTCATGTGTGCTGTCGGCCAACTGCATTGCAAGACAAGACCAGGGAGAGTGACGAGGATGATGTCCATGATAGGGATTATGATGTTGCAGCTCTTGCAAATAATTTAAGCCAAGCATTCAGATACAATGCTACGCAATTACTTGACAGGAAATCAAATCGAGAAAACATTCAGAGCTGGAAGTAAGGTAACACTCTGTAACTTTTGAATTTTGGTTCTTGTTTCTTTCCTGATTATTTACAAAGAATTATGTCATGGATGGAGTAGAGAAAATCTAGTTTAACATTTACAATGCAAGTATTCCTTGTGTTAGATAATCTGATTGTTATGGGGCAGATAGAAATGATCTGTAAGCCCTGTCATACTTAGTGGTGGAAAGTTTAAATGCATGGTGCATGCTAGGTTGGTCTACATTCTGCGTGTTAAGTTGTAAAATATTTTTGCAAATGGAAATAACTATAAACATTTTAAAATTGTATTGGGCATCTTGCCTCTGTGTTGAATTCTATCAATGCAAGTACAATCAATTCAATATAAAATTAGATGGTCGATGGCCATGAGGTCAAACAAGACACTATTTGGTAATAGATCTGTGTGTATTTTTTAACTGATGAATCTTGGTGCTTGACTAGTGGTAATATGAAAGTGGTGTATATACGAACTTTATAAGTTGGAGGATTCATAAAGCTGTGTCTAATAGATTTAATACATTGATCACTACAACACCTATCACTTCATGACATATTAAATTGCGGGGACGATATCAACAGGAGTTGGTAATATTGAGACAAGCACAGCCTAATGATTATCTTTCATTGTATGGGGCAGTCAATATTTCTTTGATTGGGTTCTAATAAGCATAATTTCTACTTAAATGTAAGGGGGCAGTTAATCTTTTTTTGATTGGGTTATATTAAGCATAATTTCTGCTTATCTGGAAAGTCTTATTTCTCTTTATTTCATCCATGTTTCATGTCTTTTTATTTATTCGGTTATGCTATGCAGGTAAGATGCTTCACTGAGATAACTGGATATCATAAAATTTTGAATCTAAATCAATTTGAAAATTAGCCAACCTAATGCCTTGTGCCCATTTTTCTAATTCAGTTCTCTATCTTAGAATCCGGTCATATGCATTGTAGGTTCTAAACAAAAGTTGGAAAGCTGACATAAGTGACTCTTGGAAAAGCTAGAGAATTGGGATCCGGTAGCTGTCAAAGTACGGAGGCATTTTGTTCTTGAGACTAGTTGGAGATTTACATGGTGCAATTTGGATTGTCTACTCAAATTTTTGTAGGTAATGATTGTTCTTTTTTTTCTTTTTCTTTTTTTTTTTCTTTTTTTGGAAGAGGTGATTAACAAGGACCAATGAATCTGTATCAAATCTAATTTTTTAAGATATTCATGGAGATGGTTGGATTGACAGATGAATGGGCTGCTTGCTTCTTTGATGATCTTGATTATTTAGTGAGGGAGAAAATGGAACTCAAAAATTAAGGAATGTTTACATTTTATTGGATTTCAACTTTTATTTTAAACTTTCATTTATGAAGTTTTGGAGAAAATAATTATTAAAATAAAATCATATATTTTTTAAATATTTTAATTTAAATTAGCGACGAAAATCCGTTGGTAACCATGTTGCTAATTAGCAACGGAAATATGCGCTGGTAAACATCGAAGCCTTCTTCCGTCGCTAAATTACCAATGACTTTAGTAATTCGTCGCTAAATTAGCGGCGGGGTTATTATCGACGAATTTTTCGACCAATTAATTCCGTTTGTGAAAGTCATTAGTGACAAAATTTTAGGCATCAGTGATGGAAATTTTCGTCTCTGAAGCCGCATTTTTTTTGTAGTGAGACTTTTGACAAGAGGTCAAGCACGCTATAAGTTAGGCTGGCTTTCCTGACATTTATTAACTAAGCACGTCACATCAGTCAACTTTGGAGACGTGCTTGTTCGATCCTCTTCTGTTTGTCAAGGATTTCGGATAGTAAAGTGGTTCGACGGCAGAAGGCGAATCAACTTAGAGCAATGTCCGAAGCTATGACCTTGGCACTTCCTTTGACAGTTTCGGACGTTAATCCCTTTTGCACCAATTCTTGGGTGCTCGCCACGTGTATGCATATGAGGTCTCCACGTAAACTTTTCTGTATTGACAAGTAACACAGACCTTTTTTTTTTTTTTTAATAAAAACATTGAAAGACATAAAAAAAAATATAAATTAGTTACCATTTATAAGTTATAACAAAAAAGAAAATTAAACCAAATATGAAAATGCAACGAAACTTAGATTTATAGTGAGTGTTGATTGCATCATCGTGACAAAATAATCTAGTTCAAAATTCTTTAAATAATTAATTAAAAAATTATATTGAATAATGATATAAAGAAAGCCGTAATACTAATTGTTTATAGCCATTTTTGATATAAAGAATAATGATAACAAATTAAGTATTAATCCAAATACACAAATTATTTTTGAATATTACACCTCCAAAGATTTAAAACAAATATATCTTTAACAATTACAACGTACCATTAATCTAAATTCAAAAATTATTTTCAAATATTACACCAAAGATTTAAAACATTTATATCTTTAACAATCACAACGTACCATTTAGTCCTATGTTATACCTATATTTTTTATTCTATTCTTTTAAAATAATTCACGTGCGAAAAAATTATAGTTTAAATTTTACGTGAGCTACACCCGACCACCTAAACGATTCTCTTTAATTTATGTTTTACTTGCACCAGAGTGGTCTTGTAACGTTTCAAGATTTTCAAATTTTTATGTTTACTTGCACACTTAAGTTGTCGCATTAATATATTAAACGCTACATAAATTATATATAACAAACAATGTCTAAACTGAAAATATTTTATATAAAAACCTTTTTATCTATAATATTATAATTTCTTGCATCGTTTAAATATGAACAGCATTGAGCAAATTTTTTTTTCTGGACCTCCCCTACAATATTGTAACTGTAGTAGAGCTTAATCACCAAGTTTGGGACGAATTGATGTGGTTTCTTTACGTCTAAGACACCATCGAATCACGAACGGAGGAAGGTATGACAGAAAAGTCTATTGGATAAAACGTTTTCATGACTCTATCACCCAATCAATTCTATCCTACTTAGTACCTTTTTTTCTTTTATGGTCATATCTTATTTGCACCACCACTACGAGAAAGCTAGTTGGCTCATATCTTTCTGTCAATGATGAAAAATTCTCCTTTGATCACTGGAATTTAGAAGGTGGCCATGGAGGTGGAGGTGGAGGTGGAGGTGGAGGAATAAGGGGTGGTTCTGATTTTGGAAAAGGATATGGGGGTGGGTTTGGAGGTGGTGCTCAATGAGGAGGAGGTTTTGGTGGCAGAGGCGGATTGGGTGGACGATCTGGTAGTGGATTCGGAATTGGATATGGTGGTGGATTAGGAGGTGGAGGAGTCCCTTGAGTAATTAAAGAAGTTTCAGTCCTTTGCATTTCCTTCTGCCTAGCGATTTTGTTCATGGCTCAATTAAAAATAAACTACTAGATGGCATGTGTTTGATTTTGTAATCAAATTTATTCAAACTTATTAACATAAACATCCATTTGTTGATTAATAAGCATCTTTCTTAATCTCATGCGTTATTTCTTCCATTAAAATCTTATTGTATTGTAAGGTTAAGATTATTTGTTCTTATAATTTTGTCGCAAATATAAAAAGTAAGTTACAGTGCACATTTTAGAAATGTGAAATTTAATATTTTTAAAGTGAACAATTTATTTGAGCACTTTAACACCATATTCTAAGTGAATAAAACTTGTCTAGTGCTAGTTCCAACTTAGTAAGTCATATTCGACTTGATTCTAATTCTCAATTCAAAATCAACTTCGACACACTCAATCTATAGTTGAGTCTGACAAGTGTCCCAAAAGATATTTGGTGTTGTGATGAAGAATTTGATATTTTATTTTCCTTCGGGTTAACTAGGGATGACAATAGGTTGGGTTGGGTTCGGGGAACGGGTGCGGCGCAGTGATGGCTTGCCCCGTTTGTTGCCTTTATTTTATTTTATTTGGAGTTATGTTATTATTAGAAAATAAAATACAAATTCAAAATAGGTTTATAACAAATGAATTGTCCAAAAATAAAATTATTTTTATTCTCTTCATGGGGCGGAGCAGGTTTTTTTGCTATCACTAGAGTTAATTGTTGGACTCAGAAGGATTGTAGTGAATGAGATTAATAACGTGATATGAAGTAATGAAGATCGTAACAAGAAATAAAATTTAAAAGTAAAGAAATTAACAAAGTGAGTTAATCGCAGAAGCACGACGTTTTATTAAACGACAATATGAAGAGAAATATAAGAACTCAGTAATTCTTGCTTAAACAAAATTGAAAGAGAAGACCACTATTTATAGGTACATGACATAACATAAAGATGAAAATAACGTGGAATAAGGAAATAATATATTTTTATAAAAATCACGTGAAATATAAGGAAACAAATTTTCCCACATGAAAATACGAAAATAATTTATTTCCCAAAAAAAAAAAAAATCCACTCTAATTTGGGTTACAAATCCAAAATCTCCACCTTGACCCAAATTCTGGTGCAACGAACGAAAGTCCAAGATTTCAAATCCGTGTGTATCGACATAGCCAATCTCCTCAGCACAGTAACCAAAACTCTCCAAGCCAAACCATCATCCTCTACAAGGCATCCACAAGCAACACCTGAACCCAAATCCTGGGTTCCCAAAATTCTGCCGAGAAATTACTGTTGACCAAACAGGATCGAAGCATACCCTATAGCAGATACTGGATTAGAAGGCTCATTGCTAGAACTGTCACCTTCAACGTCCCCAAAAGCATCCCAAACATTATTGACACCCGGTACCTACGCTCCATAAGTCCAACCCTAACAAATGAACACAGTGTATCCGCTGAAATTGGTAGCAAAGCGGAATCACCAATACTCCCTTGAGCAATGTTCTGAACTGACCCAGAGCCCGTCACAAGAAATACTGTACCAAACTGAACATCCACTACGATATTGAACTTGTCCCGATATTTCTTAACTGGTTCTGTGTTTCCCTAGGAGATGCACAATTGAGACTTCTTCCGTTCCTTCAATACAACCCGGACACCCATTCGGATTTTCAAAGCTCCACCTCCACCAGAGAATTTATACCATTTTGCATCCAAAGTACTAAATGAGATGAGATTCATTTTTAGGTCTGGAACATGTTGAACCTGATCAATTGTTCCGACTGTTCCATCCTGCAACCTTAATCTGATTCGACCGATTCCATCAACACGACAAGACTGGTTGTTTACCATCACAACTCGACCTTGCTTGACAGCCTCATATGTCTGAAAGAAATTTCAATTGGAACACATATGATGCAAAAATGTCTAATCGAGAATCCACTCCTCGTTAGACCTAGATTCCACGTCAGATACCACAGTCAACATCACATCTTCGCCGTTTGAAAAATCATCAACTACATTTGTTTCTTCTAAGGTTAAAGGTTGTGCTCCAGGATTTGCAACTAAATCAACTTTAGCCTGTAACTTATTGCAATCATTTCGATTATGTCCCTTACGTCTACAGTAGAAGCAAAACAAATTGTTGTTATTTTTCGATCTGCCCCTCCATTGACCACCATGAGATATAAGATCTTCCTCATCCCTCGATGTAGTTCCAACCAAATGCTTCAACTTTTCCTTTGAGTACAAAGTATCATAGACGTCAACTATAATCAAAGTATCCCAACTATACAAAATGGTGTTTCGAAACAACGCATAAGAGCCAGACAACGAACATAACAGGATCAAGGCATGATTCTCTTCATCGTACTGAACCTCCACTGTTTCCAAATATGCGACAATCTCCTTGAATACGACAATATGGTCTTCCAACGACCCTCCTTCCACCATGCGATGGGAATACCACTTCTGCTTTAGAGCTAGTTTACTGGTAAGACTCTTGATCATACATAACTGTTCCAGTTCAACCACAAAGTAGCTACCGTTTTTTCCTTCAAAACATCCTGCAGAATATTGTTGGATAAATGAAGACGAATCAACGACAAAGCCTTCCAATCCCTTTGTTGTTTCTCCTCCATTGTCCAATTAGTTGGCATCTTCTCAAAACCTAGTAACACATCGTCCAAATCCAACTACGCCAAAATAGCTCTCATCTTTACTTGCCAAAAAGAAAACCTTGTATTGCGATACAATTGGGGATTATCATACTTCAAAGCAGACATCTCTGAAAAACCTCAACCAATCCACAACAAGAGCCAAGCTCTGATACCAATCGTTAGACCCAAAAGTATTGTAGTGAATGAGATTAATGAGGCGATATGAAGTAATGAAGATCAAAAAGAGAAATAAGATTTAAAAGTAAAGAAATTAACAAAGAGGGTTAATCGCAGAAGC